TCCCATCGGTCACCGACATCCCACGGCGCTAGCAGCGCCGACCCACCGAGGCTCTCCCATGCCTCCCAAAGGGGGGCCACGCGGTCCCCACCTCCAGCAGCCGCGCCCCCTCGACCTGCAGGGGGGCGTAGCGTGGTAGGGCCTCCCGGGCTCCTTTGACTTGGAGTGCAGCCGCGCGCCAGGGCCCGTCGTCTCCTGGCATCCGCAGCTCGCGCTGGGCGGCCTCCTCCACCAGCTCGCCCCACGGTGCTGCCGGCGACAGCTCGGTCCATCCGGCCTCCGCAATCCGCTGGCGTACCTCCTCCACCGTGGCACGAGTAATGAAGTCGGCCAGCTCGTTGTGGTAAGTCCGTAAGTAAAGCCCGTCCAGGACCCGGAACTTGTACCGTAGCTCCAGCATGGCCAGGACTCGAAGCAGGTGGCGCGCCACCGCGTTCCGTGCCCGGCGGCGTCGCAGCCAGCGGCTGACATTACTGTTGTCAGCGACGTACGGCAATAGCAGCTGGAACCAGTCCGGGCCCTTCTCGGCCGCCAAGGCTATCAGGCAGAGGAGTTCGACCACCGCGATGATCTCCCCCTCCCCCTGCCAGGTGACCCCAGGGGCGGAGCGGAGCGTCTCCAGATAGGGAGCCGCCTCCGCCACGATGTGCTCGCGCGAGGACCAGTCCAGCGCACCGATCCGATCCAGGGTGGCATCGCCTCCCAGCCAGCGCAGCCTGCCGAGCGCCCCCGGGAGTGCGAGGGCTTCGCGAAGGCCTAGCAGGCCCTCGAAGGAGGTCTCGAAGTTACCCTCGACCGGCATCTCAAAGCAGACGCGCAGCCAATCCAGGGTCTGGTGCCAATCGTCCCACGCAGCCTCTACCATCTCGGGGTCGCCCGGCGGGTGGACGTAGGCCTGACCTGGGTCACCCGACAGCATTCGGTGGACCGCTGGGAGCTCCAGGCTCAGGGCTGGAGCTGCGCAGGCGCAGAACTGGCCGAGCCACTTAGCTCCCTCGCGGTTCGCAGCCGGACCATGCGGCAGCCGAAGCTCAGCTCCGGCTCCGCCAATAGGAAGCGCATCTTCATGGCCTTGGGCTCCGGGAGTCCAACTCGCTCGCGCTCGAAGTCCATACTGAGCCCCCAGATAATCTGCGTGTGGAAGGCTCCCCCTCGGCGTCCCTCTTGCTGACGTTCACTGCTTCGGACCCAAACACCTCACGTATGGAGGCATCCAATGCGTCGCAGGCCATCCACGGCCGGACCCCAATGTCGGGCTCCACCACCACAGGGTCATCCATGAGCCACTCCGAGTGAAAGTGGGTGGTGTCGTGCCAGTGCGGCTCCCCAGGCCGATAGCTCTCGTGGAGCTCCCTCGCCGCCAGGGCGAGCATCATGTAATTGCCTGGGGCTCCCGTCCACCCAAACACCATGGCTAGGTAAACGACTCTGACGCCCCCCTCGATGCCAGCGTGGGCCCCCGGTAATGAGGTGCCAAAGTCCCCGACGTCCGCCGGGGCGATGTCCAGCCACTTGAAGGCCCGCGAGACGTCCCGCTTGGCGCAGAGGAGGCGCGCTCCGGGGTGGCGCGCGCGATGCCATACTGCCGTCCTCGCCACTTGCCGATGGCGTGGCTGGACGGCAGGCGGGTGGTCGCGCTTGTGTGTGGCGGCGTTGGCCGAGAGCATCGCGTGGGTCATACGCCCTTCGGACGATAAGGTCCTGTCCGGTAGCTGCTTCGGTACCCTCCCCAGGGGGGCTTCCACCAGCTCCGTCAGAAAACCCTCTGCCGCCTGGGAAGCCACCAGGACGATCCCCCAGGTCACATCCGCCCATACCTTCTGGTAGGCCTCGTCGATGTGGGCTCGCACGCTGGGGTGCGGCTGGGCTCGCTCGCGCCTCCGCGGCGCGCCCCGCCGCGCGGAGGCCCCCCCTTCCGCTAGCTCCCGGACGTACTCGAAGTGCTCTCGGCTTAAACACCGTCGCACCTTGTCCCCCAGGACACCCCGAAGGGGGTTGCCCAGGCGCTCGTGGCGCGCGCGCCTAAGCAGCGCGGCCGCTTCCGTCAGGGACCCCGTCCGCTGGAGGAGCTGATCCCCCAGCCCCACCAGGGTCCGCATGGCTTCGGGGTCGTACTCAGGGTGCTCCGCGCAGAAGGTCAGGTAGACCGTGGCCAGCTCCGCCGGGCTGCACCCGTCGAGGTCCTCCGCGATATCTCTGGCCGGATCCTCGCATGGGGGTCGAGTCTTGCCCGCACTCACCTCCCCCTGTGCCTTGCCCAATGGGGGCTTAGGAAGCCCCGCCAATGCTCGGTGCATGGCTGGGCTAAGCCTACCGCATTTTGAGCCGTCCCCTGAGGCCTGCAGGCGCTCGATTCCAATGAAGTCGACGCCCTGCAGGCGCCCGGGCGCCTCCGCCCGGGCGATTTTGGGGGACGCCCCCGGGCCATCCTCCCATATAGGCGCCAACTGCCGACTCAGTTGGCTCACCGACCAGCGGTGATAGGCCCCTTTCAACACCTTTGCCCACGCGGCGCAAAGGCGGGGGGCCCAAACCTGCGCCTCCTTGGTGCGCTTAATGCCCGAGCCCGGCACGTGATCCTTCAGCTCGACGTGGTGGTGGTCACGGGGGCAACGTCGCGCCAACAACAGAGCGTGCAGATACAGCCGGGGGCTGACGAGCCACCAGCTGCCCTTGCGATAGCGGCTCTCTGGCGCGTCGGACGGGGCCTTACCCCAGGCGCACATGTGGATCGGGACGATCATGGCCCCCGTCGCTCGACGCAGCTCGTGCATCGGGGCCTGGTCCCAAATCTTGGGGTAGCGGCCCGAGGGGCAGGAGGACTCGATGAGAAACTCCTTGCCGGCGTCGTGTAGGATGCGGCAGGTGTCGCACGTGAACTGTGTGTGGCTGTTACCCACGCGCTCGAACTCTTTGGAGCCATCCCCCTCGGGGTGCTCCCACGTGCGGGTGCCCTGCGGGGTCCCGCCCGGCTGGGTCATGAGCCCGAGGTCGGTATACGAGCCACACGGGGTACCCCAGCACCAAACGTTGGCCACGTCGGGGCCCATGGGGGTCCGTGCGGCCTCCTGTAGGCGCGCGCGAACCGCTGGGTCGAGGGTGTCATGATCCGGCCGTGGGCCGGACTCTCGGAGGGGGTCGTCGTAATATTCGATCGGCTCCAGCACCCGGATGCCCTCGGCGCGAAGCGCGGCCGACCAATTTCCCGAACCGGCGTACACCTCCTGGGCGATCAAACCGTACGCGAACGCGGGGTCGTGTCGAAGTGGCATCGCGTTCGCCTCCAGGAGGCGTGCCTGGACGTCGGCTGGATGTTCCCCGAACGAGGCCGGCGCGCGTCCCACTGCGCGGCCCGCCCGACCTTCCGCTGCCTTGCAGTGGGTGCAGGGCGCGCTCTTGCCCGGGACGGTGGGTTCAACGTCCGGGCCTTCATCGAGCATCTCGCGCCAGCCGACACTTACGATCTCGCGGGACAGGCGTCCTGCGTGCCCCCAGCGCTGGCCTAGGGCCGCCGCCTCCGCGTGGGAGCGTGGGCGCAAGGCGCGCATATGGCCACGCCAGATCAGGAGCGGAATTACGTGATCCTCCGCGCCGACACCCGTCCCCATTAGGTGGTCCACGCATAGGCGCCCACTGCCGTTGACACGGTGCACCTGGAGCGTGACGGCGTCGAGGTCGGCGACGGGGCATGCTGCCAGGCAGCGATAGTCCTTGTCGTGGTGCGGGTGCACCGCATCGTGGACGTAGGAGCGGACATCGGCCTCCAGGGCCGTGATCCACGGTGGGGAGTCGCCCAGGGCACGCAGGGCCTCATGGGCCTCCTCCCATAGTGCATGGCGATACGTCGCGGCCAACTGCTGCACCGCGCCCGGGCTGGGCTCACCTGTGCCCTCGCCCGCGCGTAGCAGGAGCACCCCCGCAGCTACGTGCAGTAGCAGGCACTGCCGCTCCTCGGCGTCGCCCACCTCCAGGCCCATCGCCTGGCCCATCTCCTCTGTAGGGCCGAGGCGGTCCCGGTAGTCGATGAAGTCCCACTGGATGCGGGTGTCCCCGTCCCAGAAGGTATAGGACCCGCGGCCTATCAGCCCGTCGGTGTCCCACGCAACCGGGCCAACCTCGGCCCCGCCCTCGGTGACGTATCCTGCGGCGCAGCTAAGCGCCTCATGCAGGTCGGCTGCCTCGCTGCTGAGACCCCGATGGCCTCGGTCCACGGCTTCCTCGAGGGCTCGCTCCAAGGTGAGCCGCTCCCCGCGCAGGCGCGCCCCCAAGACGCGCCCGCGCACGTGACTCTGCAAGTGCTCGCTGGCCCCCTTCAGAGGCGCGAAGATGCCCTCGGATTCGAGCTCCTGCATGAGTTTGAGGCGAAGCTCCGGCCCATCACCCGCGGGCTGGGCGTCACAAGTGGCCGCCGCGCGCGGGCGGTCGTGGTCTTCGAGCCATCCGAAGTCGGGGCCCTTAACCGCTTCCCGGAGGTCAGATTCCATCGCGGTAAGCTGGAGCGCAGTGTAGTCGTCCGGGGCCTGCCCCGGGCCCGGGTCGCCCGCTGCTCGCGAGCCGCTGCCACGGCCACGCCCCTTTTCCTTCTGGGAGTCAGGGGCAGCAGGTGGGGAAGTGTCCTCGCCAACCTTCTCGGCCTCGGCTGCCTTGGCTTGCGAGCGCAGCTGCGCAAT